GAAAATCGAAAGCCGTTTCGGAGTAATTCAATTACGCACACCGTGACACGAAAATTTTAAATATTAGATTTTGTGCAAAATAGGAGGCAAACAAACATTCGACCTGATGGCAAGCGATTACCGTAGCAGACACTTGCAAGCAAGTGATACCATAATATCACTTGCTTGCTCTTTACTCTGATTTTCCACTAAGCGGAGCCTTGTTCTGTCTGGGAAATGCCTTACGCAAACGTCAAATACCAGGGAAGCGAGAAGAAGGTATACGGGTCTCCTCCGTGCTCGTTTCAGCCAGCCCTTGGGCCAGATGAAATGAGCAGGGCTCTACCTAATGCCCTGAACAGGGTAACTAAATTCCAGACAATACTCCTTCACCGGTCACCCGGCGTACATTCTGAGGACCGCAGTCCCCCCAATGCACGCCGGGAATGCGGGTGTGGTCGCAAAGCTTTTTTTTTCTTTTAATTTCAATTCCAATAGAAACCTAACACTACTGAAAGGTAGTTATTTTAATAAGGTCTTCTGTAAGGTGGGGATTGTTTCCCCGAGCTGACGCTCTTATTCGAGCGGGAAATCCACTATACCTGAACTCTATAAATACCATTCCATTAAGAGCTAACATCCTAACATGGAATAGACTAGTAACTTACAAAATAAGTAATAAAAGCATTGGTATCTGTTGAAATCTGTAATTGAACCTTTTCGTAGCTTCCATTTTTATTATATTTTGGACACCTAACCTGTATTGTGTGTGCCTTAATTTGTTCTAAAAACAAATAACATTTATTATTATTACTAACATCTAATCACTAGTCTTCAGTTATTGCATTTCTAACACAGTTTGATGATAAAACCATTGTCATAAAATAAATCGGCACAAACGTTCAAAAATGCACTTTTACGTCATGAGCAAGTTTTAATTTAGCACTATGACCAATCCGTTATCCTGGTATATTCTTTTTATACCTATATTTATTCGTAATTAATTTGCTTCTAATTTTAAATGAGTAAAGGCTAGCTTAAGCTTTTAATTATAACAATTTCCCAAGCTTTTGATGGTATTCGAAAAAGTTCAAGTATCTTAACGATGCCATTAAAACTCTTTTAATGGGGTATGTGTGGAAGTTACAGTGTGCACTTGAATGTCCCACGGGATAAATGCAAGCCGTTAGCTGGATGAAGATAAATAAAGTGTTTTGAAGTATCTCGCATTCATTATATAAGAATTTGAATTTTGAAAGGCAACAAATAGCGCGTAAACTTTATTACTGAAGTACGGACATGTTGCGCACTATCTTGCAACGTAGCGTATTGTATAGTACAACGTTGCCGAACGTGTTTAGCGTCATGTGTTGCGCGTCAATTGTTGCCTTGTGGATGTAAGGCTTGGCATCTTGCGCACTAGATGGCCACGACCAGTACCCCTTGCACGAACCAATATCGAATTCGTATCGTTTGCGAGTCCAAAATGTCATTGTCAAATGTGTACTGATTTTTAGTTCTCGTTACGTACTTTGTGCCGCTGCTGTTCAAGTTTCCATACAAAATTTGACATTGTCATTTTGGTTTGCAAACTATTCGAATTCGATAATGGTTCGTGCTAGGGGTACAGATTATCTAAAGAAACCATATTATTATGAACGTCGAGCACTTGGTCACAATGGCTAACTGGCCGCACACCAGGCCGCACGACTGGTCATTCTGGATAACTTATAGTTAGGTATGAGTGCTTGCGTACTAGATCTGCGATCGCGAATGCCGCGGCCAAGGCGCGACCGGCCATTCTCAGTGTCATTGTGGACAGGACTTGACTAAACTCACTTTGTATCGTTCCGCGACTCAATACGATGTTTTTGAAGAGAAATTTCTTTTCGCACGCTTGACTTGGAGGGAAAGCTGGCGAATGCGTTACGCGTTACGAAAAGTGTATTCGGGCGAGGCGAACGGGAGTTCAGTGGGGGAAGCAAGAGAAAGCAGTGCACGCGAAAATTTTCTTTCTCTCTTTCTCTTATAGCTAGTAAATGAAATATGTGTATGTACATACATGTATATATTGTACACACACACACACGCACACAAAGTGTAGTGTATTATATTATATACAGATGGAGCTAAAGAAGTTTCACTTCAGTCGTGTGGTCATAAGCACACTTTTTTTTCTGCAACGAGTTTTATACATAGTTGTTTATTAATGATAAAAGGTTATCACCACTGTAGCTGATTTACGACCAATTGTGGTCGTGACCGCAAACTTGGTCGCAGCCCAAACGTATCTTACGGCCAAGGTTGCGGCCCCGTCTAGTGCGCGAGGTGCCTAAAAGCCCAGCCTACCGAATGCGCGCTTATGTCCGTGTGTCGCTGCGCTTATACTTTATGTTCTGCGACAGTCATACATTTGAGTTTTAAGCCTTTATCGTTGAAAGCGCCCCAATCCAATTATGCATGACACCTAATGGTGACCTCCCTCCTCTTATGGCAGGGTATGAAGCTAGACCATATAAGGCTGTGCTATGTTCGTGGTCTGCATAAACGCGGCCTAGAATGCGAGAGCCGTATGTAAAATATGTCAGGGCAACACCATTTCTTAAATTCTATTACGGTATGTACGACAAGGACGGTAAAATATGGTCAAAATAGCCAGAGCTGGTAAACTGGTAGATCGCGGATTTATTCCAGTCGATCAAGGATTCATTCCAGTCGATCGTCGTATGTCTAGGTAAAAATAACCAGAGGTAGTCAACCAGGCGATCGCGGATTTATTCCAGTCGATCAAGGATTCATTCGAGTCGATCGTCGTATGTCTAGGTCAAAATAACCAGAAATGGTCAACCGGTCGATCGCAGATTTATTAAAATCGATCAAAGATTAATTCCAGTCGATCGTCGTATATCTAGGTCAAAATAACCAGAGGTGGTCAACCGGTATGTGATAATAATAACCAACTTTCTCACCACAATCCGAACTTTTACAATGTATTTGCAAGATGATGATTACACAAAACAAACATTACTTTCTAATTTGTACTAAAAACATAATACGTTTTTATAAAACAATATATTATAAATTTGATTCTTAATTTTTGATACATACTCAGTGCAATTCTCATACTGCACACCTAGTAAAAGATTAAGTATTACAATGAATTTTCAAATCATGTTCTCATTATACTATTTTAACAGACCATACCAAGAAGTATGTAATGGTGGAGCTGGAGTGCCGTGTTACGTTAATAAACAGTAAGATTAAATAAGTAAATAATAAATATTTCCAACACAGACCAATTAGCCTAGCCCCTAAGTAAGCACTATAAGGCTTGAGTAATGTGATGCTAGGGTAACAGATAGCATACATATACTGTACATATATAAGTATATTTATATAGAAATACATATTAAACATCCATGACTGGAGTACAAATGTTCGTATTCATCACACAAACATCTGCCCCCACCGGGATTCCAGCCCGGGACCTCTCGAGTCGGTGACACCGTGAAACCCGGCGTACAAACCACTGGGCAACAGAGGTCGCCTATTTATGACCTAGTCTAGTTATGACCTTGGGCTGGGCCTTGTGTCTCATGTGGACCAAATCTGGTAAATAAATAACCACTAATTTGTTTTCCGTTCCACACTCGTTCGCGATTCTCGGAATCTCTTAGATCACTGGAGATACTCAGATGTGAGTAATATGCCCAAGCCATTTCTTACCCGACAAAATTCCGAATGAGTATTTAAAAATACACGCAAGAGTAAAGTCGATCGAATTTATGGCAATAATCGATCAAGCTTTCTCAATCTTAACTATTTATATAAAATGATAGTAAGCACATTTAACTTGACTTAGGTGCCAATCCTATATATTAATTACACTTATGACAGCTTAAGATTTGGAGTGTCAGGAATTTGATATGAATTGTAAAAATAAACTCAGCATTCTTTACCAGAAAAGTTAAAACAAAAAAATGTAAGTAACAAATATTTATTAAAATAATAATATCTAGATATCTATATATAAAGATATATAGAGTTGATAAATAAAAGGTACAGTTCAGTTATTCTGAATTCAGTTTTAACATGGCTCGTGTATAATTTTTGCAAAGCATTTGATGCTGTAATATCACTTCAACAATCTGACTGAAAATTTAGGTTATGAGTTAGTTACACGATGTTCCGCCCGAGGCGCCACCGCCGCCCATATTGGATTTCCGCCAATGTACATAGATGGCGTTCGTGCACAATTTAATAAAGACACGCTACGGTTGGGACTAAATCCAATAATATCTAGCAGCATACGTGAGATTTACATTTCCAGTTACATAGTGACTGTTAAAATTTTGCCTAGTGACACAAAATCGTTTAACATAGACAAATTTTGCACGTTTAACACTTTACTAACAAATAGACATTGAATTCCTATAGGGATATACACAATTGAACGACATAAAAGGTCAAAGGTAAGAATTGCTGTTCGAAGATATCAAGCAGTGGTATTTTGCTAAAAATAGGTTGAACTTTGGGGCAGGTTCGTTCTGCTTCCTTTAGTTAGTAACTTCACGGATAACAAAGAGATAGACGATAGAAATTTTCCTGTGATACTATCCAAAATTATTACAATGACACCTTCAGAATCGAATTCGTCAAACCTTGGCCAAATGGAATGGAATTTTATAGCAGTTTTCTTAAGATTAATAAATATAGAACTATAATTCAAAAACTATTAAACTCTGTTTATTCCTACTTCTAGGAAACGATAGGACTATCCTTAAGATTGCTAAAATTTTAGCACGTGAACGAGAAAAATAAATTGGCAATACAAATTTATACAGTGATGCACTATAAAGGTTGTCTAAGAATTCGAGATGTTTAAATTTAAGATTTTAGCTGAAATAGTTCATCAGAGTTTTGGTATAACATAAAATCTATGAAGGCGTTTGAGAGTGTTTTCAAAACTTCTCAGTAATTAATGTACAACTCAGATTATAATAAAATAATTTGTATTACGCTCAAGCAATCGCAAGGAAAATAGTGCTAATGATGTTAATGTCTGACCAACGGCAAACTGGACCACGATCCGCAAACAGTGTAAGTATCCTTAAACCAACAGGGTTTTCCAGGGAAGCAATATGGGGTCTTATTTCTATACTATTAAGGTCCTAGTCAGTTAATTTTATAGCACGATAAACATGGGAGTTGTAAACAAATTTGACCGAATTGCATGCGATTTTATTACCTCGTCAAACGCACGAATTTTACACCGCGGGGTGTGGCGCCATAATTATGACTTGAGCGTGAAGTTAATCACCCTTTCCGTTAAAGCTGCGAAGTCCATTAATCGTCGACATGATTTTAGTAACGCTACGCAACAATGTTATACTATGAACGTAATAAATCATAGTTTACCTAAAAAACTAGTAACCAAATATAATATGTGGAAAGTTCTTTTGGAATTGTTCAACGTAAAACCACAGATCTTAGCTGTGTTCATGTTTGTAGTTTAACTCGTACTCTACCTATGTTTTAATTAAAATACAAGTTCACTGCACAATATTATCAATTATGTTGATAACTCATATACAAAGTAGTTACTTACATACTTATAGGTAGAAATGCATAAGAAATATACAAATTAAATTTATTTTGAGAAGAATGCTCTCTTCAGATATTACCATTAAAGATACAAGCGATGGGAATAAGAATAAACTGTTCAACAAAGTCACCTCTGAAAAGTTATTTTAATAAACTTATAAACAAGAAGTATCTAGGATTATTATTTTTATCATTGGTCCCCCCGGTCACGGAACATCAATAATAACAAACAGCGTCCTTCTAATTAATGACAGTATTATGAGATCAGTCACGAAATTTGTTGTTCTCCTTATCTATCACAGAACAGACAGTCCTTGGTCTGAAGTTAATTAGGTAATAAGTGAAATAAATAACTTCTACACGGTAGCTTCAGTATCGTTATCTCTAAGGCCTTTTATTCTATTACCGATAGGCATTTGAAAATGAAGTCTTCATTCTAAATAATAAGGTTCTGGAGTAGTTTTTTTTTTAATTTGTAGGTTTCTCTTGAAAACTGAATCTTAGTATCGAGACTTGGCTGTACATACATTTTTATTAGCCTCAAAAAATATCAAGACCCTGGACATAATGTAGGACCAGAGACCTTGTCAAGACAACACGCAAGAGTGCTAACTCGATGAGATTGGTTCGTTTCATCCAAAAGTTGCCCATGGCCACTTTACGACTCCATCATTAAATAATAGATAAATATTTCCAACACACACCAATTAGCCTAGCCCCAAAGTAAGCACTGTGAGGCTTGTGTTATGGGATGCTAGGGTAACGGATAGATACATATACTGTACATATATAAGTATACTAGTATAAGTATATTTCTATAGAAATACATATTAAATATCCATGACTGGAGTTCAAATGCTCGAATACAGCACACAAACATCTGCCCCCACCGGGATCCGAGCTCGGGATCTCTCGAGTCGGAGACACCATGAAACCCGGCGTACAAACCACTCGGCCACGGAGGTCGTCAAACATCATTAGACCTATGTTAAAGGATCAAAGTCCATCCTTATCACAAACAAGAATATAGGATGAATGTCTGTACGGGGAATTAATTAGATTTGTCTCACACGCACCAGCTATTGTGATTTTACACATAGATGGTCTGAATACAAACGTTCTTTACGCTGCGGTAAGGTCAGTTACCCCAGCAGTTAGCAAGTTAATAGTGTAATTGAACAAAAAGGTAATAAAAAAAAATAGATTACATAAAACCATAGCAAAATGATCTTTCTCGTTGAAGATGAACCAACACTTCGTAATAGACAACAGGATATCCTTATAAATGTTTGTATGCTATATACAGCGTTCAGACTGAAATAGAGCAAATTAGAATCGCAAGCCACGCCTTTACTTAGCAGTTATTAAAATTAATTGGATATAACGCGGAAATGTCGTGTTTCTCGTTACCACAACGTTTTCATTACCAGTGTGAAGTTTGAGAAATAAATTAAAAATATGTATACAGTTTAAGCGCAATTCTCGCTGTAATGTATGAATGACGAGCAGCATAATATAGGAAAAAATATTTTAATCATGAAAGAATTATTCATATTTAAGTAGGTAGTTAAGTCCTCTTAAATCCTTATGAGTATGACCTGTTTGAAGCTAAAAATACCTACCTCTACATGTAGGTTTGTTGTATATCTATAAGAGAATAAATCATTTGGCTGTTAGTGAATCAAAACAAATCAACTTCAATTTTTGAGCTAAATCTTATGCATTTTTTATCGATGAAATATATACTTACACTAGTGGCCCTCCCTCGCTTCGCTTCGGTGTAGAGCTGTAGTGTAGATTTAAATGACTCTTCATATAAGTATTTATAAAAAAAAGAAAAGGGTATATTTGCCTTTTCCAAACTTCTATTGACATCACGTCGTTCAATTGTTTTGCCTTCCCAGAATCTCTCCACTAACATTTGAAATTTATGGTATGGTATTAAGGTTCACATTGACTTTTAAGTATTATTACGAATCGTTTGTATGGGAGTATAGAAAAGTGTTGTTTTTGGACATTTCAGTCATTTTTTTTTCTCTGCGTAAGAACCATCCTGGTACTTCAAGGAATATTCTAAAAAAGAATTATCGAAATCGGTTCAGCTGTTCTCGAGATTTGCGCTTAGCAACGCATTCAGCGATTCATTTTTATATTATAGATTATATACATTGAATTGAATATAATTTCTAATGTTTCTAAATCTAATGCTCTTCACTCACTTGGTGATATCTCAAGCTTGTACCTGCCAGCTAGTCCTCGGCCTTGACAGAAAGCTATTGATTAAATATCTTTATTTATATTCTCACGAAATGTCAACAAGAATGGTTTCCGAATTTTCACTTCTAATATGTACTTATACATGGATATTTTCTCTATTGTAAGTCTTCATTGTTAGTTTTAGCCTGGAAGGTCAGGACATGAAATAATTATAATTAGTTGTTCCAATAAAAGTACTATAATATGACAACAGAGTAGTACGAATGTTAAATTTGTAAGGGTTAAAAGATTTTAATTATGAAAATAATATTGGATACTAAGCTGAAACCAAGATGGTGTGCTAGAACAGCGACTTTATAATAAAAATGGACTATATCCTTTGTTTTCATACAATTATAAACGTCGAAGGAACCAAATCTATAACAAGACATAAAACAAAATTTCGTTTCCTAGTCGGATCGGTAGGATATAGCAATGATGCAGTTTAACATGTTTGCCAAGAGTAATCGTGAATACTCACAAATAAACCAACGATTCAGAATTACTTTCCTCCTTATCAAAGTAGGTAACCAAAAACTCCTTTTATAGGTTTTGACTGGTTACATCATGTTTGCTGATCAATGATTTCCGTAACGATATACGTGTTAATTCAGATTAAAACTCAAATCACGAGGAACAAATGGAGCAATCCAAAAATGGCGAACAAATAAAAACGAACACAAACAAGGCGTGGATGAACTTTTTACAGCTATTTTGACGATTTACACGTGTCTCATAATTGATACACGGACGGGAACTCATACCAACTGAATTATAATGCTTACTCATTATCATTCATTTTGTTAATAGAAAAGAGAATGCAGTCAGCATCGGCATCATTTTGAAATGCGACTCATTGGAAGAAAAAATATAGTAAACCTAAATGGACCAGAATAAAACAAAAACTTCTTCATTTTTGGAAGACTGTTTATGAAAACCTTTGTTACAATTCAAAGCAGCTAACGAGAGCATAGGTTTTTATTTACTTATTGGTGTATAACAACAGCTAAGCAACTAAAGTGCCTACTTTGAACCTCCTAATGGGAATTCATCGATGATCAGTAGGCCTATTCGCTAACTGCTTTTGACGCCACTAAGATACTTGTTCCGAATAGCATCAATAGATATGCAATTTTATATTTAGTTGCACACTGTAAATGACAAAAAGTTAGCGAAAATGCCGGCAGTTAGTCAGTTACTGATTAAACGTTCAAATGTGTGAATAAAAATGTCATTTTTAAAACATAGTTATCGTAGTACGCTACGTTAATAAATAATATCTAGGTGGCGCGATACGATATACAATTTTCCTAAAACGGAGTCATGACCGAAAACTGCAAAAACGCGCTTCATGAAATAGATTTTTCAATGATAACTTTGGTTCTTTGCTATATTACTAGCTGTCAACTATATGATAAAAGCGAAGAGAAGATATCGTTACGCCCTTTAAATGAAGGGGAACTCGATGGGTTTATTGTGAAGTGTCAGATTGATTCAATGACAGCTGCAGTCGAGTGCACTAGAAATTGTCGTCCGCTATGGACGGCTCCTGTGAAATTGATGAAAAATAACCTATCCAATGGACATTTCTTCTCCCAACTTTAGTGAAAGTTAATACCAATTAGGATGTCAATTTAAAAAGAACGTTTGCAAATATTAGGAATTTGGTATGGTATGGTCTCTAACAAAACCTATTTGTAAATTCCATAGTTTCTCAGTTACTTATATAAAATAAAACAATAGTAAAATAGAATATAACATTGAAAATGAACGTGATTTATCTGGCACGCTTTATTAGAACTCCGGTGAAACAGATTTAAATAAGAATACCTACTTGAACATTGATACAATGTTAAACCGGAATACTAAAAGTAATGACGATTTATATTCAGAAGAAACAATTACTACCTTTCTTATGCATGGCGACGTTGATATTTAAAAGAAGGGGAAAAAACATTCTTCGTATTCTTCGCTAGTAGTAAAATCAGTGAAAATAAACAATAGTTCGACTATGCCGCAACGTTGTAAACTAGGATGTTAAGCTTAAAGAATAAGCCTGGGAGATAAGCCCCTTACCTTAACAAGCAGTCGGGGCTCAATGGAGCTTATTATAACAGTTTCAAAGCAACGCAAGGTCGGCTGCAGTCGAGTGCACTCCATATAAAAGAGTAGTCTGCTTCAGAAAAGCCAGTAAAATTGATGACACGATTTTGTCGCATATGCATAAGCGATTGTATGCAAAAAATCTTGCGTGCTGTGTTAACAGAGCGAACATTAAAGGATGCTTGTTTCTATAATATTTAGCTTTAACCACAGTAGTTTTCATTATAAAAAAACTTGCTCCCTTTGTGTTTTAATAGGCCTGTTTAATTTTTAAACGACTTTGTCATCTATTATTTACTCGTTTAATGAATCCATATTTCCCATGGGAACGTCATAGTTTGAAAACCGACTTTACCTATTCCATCCATCTTTTGTTTAAGTTTCCAAATAGGTAAGTTGTAGAAGGTTCTTAAGGAAAAAATATAAGAAAGTTGCGCTGCGGATGGTTAGAAAATTTAAGAAATCCTAACTTTCGAACTGTAACCTTTCTAATTCTTGATAGGTAGCGCTGCAGCTGGGCTTTTTATATTTTTTCGAGAAGGACATCTGTCGGATCTGCTAGTTGTCATTTTGTTTTTCAATATTAATACTGCACCAGAAAGGGAAGAAGGACCATAGGGACACAAGGAGACAGATTTAGAATAATTTGTATGGAATCAAGAAAGTACGCGCGGTGGATGCCATTCTGCATGTATTTCATAAATAACCAGGAAAGTTCATCAGGTCATGGGTGGTTTGTGGTGTCTAATGTCACATAAAATAGGCACAAAGCAAGGAGTTTTCTACGCTATAGCGAATGCCAGTTGATTGGTGACAATTCACCGAAAATCATATATATCGATTTTCTATATAATCGAAATTTTAATAAATCGATTTTCGTAAATGGCTGTGACAATAGATCGAAATTTCGATAAATCAATTTTCAATAGATTATTTCAATTAACAGGTTACAATGAAATTGTTGACTATTTGACATATTATTATAATTTTAATGCTAGAATTTTGAGATTTTAATTTTTTCTTTAAAGATTAATTTTACCTATATAATTGACACATCGATCATATAGGCATGATCTTATAAAACATCGATCTAATTAGTTTTTGATCTATAGGCATAACCAGATATTGATCTATCGATTATTTGTCATTCGATCAAATGGCATGTCAATATATTGGGTTTTTGGTTAATTGTCACCTATCAAATGCCAGTGCATTCGATATGGCGCTGGCGTAGAAAACCCCCAAGCAAGTGTCGAGATATGGAAAATAGCCGCCGTGTAGAAGTAGTGTACGAACTGTATAACGAAAAGATTTGTGTACTCACATTGATCCTGTTCTTGGCCCGCTCGATGGCCTTGGAATCCTCCTTCTCCGGACTGAGGCGGCAGACCCTCGCACGCCAGTCGTTCGCGCCGGCTGCCTGGAGAGCCGCCAGCCTGCATCACGAACACAAGAACATTTGAAAGAGGCATTTCGGGCTATTTTAAGTCGGGATCCTTTTTTTATGTTAATAAAAAGTGTGGCAAATAAGTTTTTGTCTCGCCTGATGGTAAGCGGCCACCATAGACTATAGTCTATAGCTATAGACGCTTAAAATATAAAAAATATCAGTCGCACCGTTGCCTACCCTGACCCAATCCCCTAACTAACTCTGGAGCCCTGGAACCTTACTCACCGATAGAAACACAACATGACACAACGAAAGGTAGTGTTATTTTACTGTGATCTTCTGTAAGGTGGAGGACATATTCCCAGAAGAGCGGACTAATTCGTGAAAATCTGCGGGAAATCCGCTATGGGAATACCTCTTTAAAAGCTAGGTGTGTAAAAAGCAACTTGCACGCCCCGGCAAGATGAAGATGATAAGGTGAGTGTCAGGTAAAACTGCTGCACCAGCTATCCTCACGTTTCAATGCCACCTTCATAACCTTTGGCGGGGTGGTACCATACTGGTATGTCGCACCTTATTTTATAAAAAGAGTTACAACCCTTTTTGTAAGCTATTTGCAGTTAATCTAAGTTACCATATCTCAGGATTTGGCCTGAGACTGGATTGCGGTCAGATTTAGGAAATCTCAAGATGTTAAGATTAAGAGCTCGATTAGACCATAATAATTATTGTATCGTCATCTAATTTACATGTAATTGCCAAGTTTCATGTGGATACAAGATTTCATTACATAGTTCGTTACAAGTCGACCTAGTAAAAGCGTGTTAAAAAGAGTAGGAATTTCTACGAATCCCCAATGCAAAACTTACAATATTCAGACTTAAAAATACTTATTTATCTTTTTATGGAAAATTGCCCTAAACCTGGGGATTTTTCAAAGAAAATCAGTTCATCTAAAAACCTTAACTGAATTCCAATCACGATACAAAGAGAGGTATGCGTACTACTCCAACCATCTGACGGCTCATATGCCTGTATGCAGTCCTTTTTACATATAAACTAAAATCCAACCGAAAGCTTAAATTACAACCCATTTATGGACTACTAATAATAATAATTGTCTGAATACCGACTGTTTCCAATTCCACAAAACCTCATAAAGTATTAATAGGTAGGTACACAAATCACAAACACGAACTATTTATAGTAAATTCAATGGGATCACAATAGCGTGTTCAGCATACACTATTTCAATCTATCAAGGAAGTGGAAGCAACAAAGCAGCGACACGGGCTCACATACGATACAGAGAAATATAGGACGCGATGTTCACATACGATTACCAGCTATCTTCGCGTTTGAACTTTATCACCACTTAACATCAGGTGAGGTAGAGTCATTTGCCTAACTAGCTATAAAAAAAATTATAAAGCTATTAGTACTAAGGTATAATCTAAAAATATTGTGTGAGTGAGGCTTGCCTGTTTGGGGGATACTATGTTTGATACTCAATCACGCAAAAGCAGCTGTATAGAATTAGACGAAATTTTGACACACAGGTAGTTTTTAATCTAGATTGCGATATGGGAAAATTTTTTATGTACTTTTACAGGGATGGGCAAACTGTTTTCCTTATTGTGCCAATCATTACTATCAGAATCTATGGCGGGCCAATTTCTTGTTTAGGCCACTTACGATTTGCGATAAACAAAGTGGTATTTTTTTTATAGGTGAGCGAACTTATAAATTATCTAGAAAGAATAATACAGGGTGCCATACCATTCATAAACGTCGTGTCATAAACTAATCATTCTAGCGGAAGATGTTATAATTATTGCATGTGGCGTTGTACGTTAATCATACTAGGCAATTGTGATATGTGTATATGTGAGCTGCCTAGAGCTGCATAATACAAACAGGCAAGCAATGGAGCAGAATTTTCGCAGGTTTTCAACAAAACGGTGCAACTGCCCACACCGCCCGATTTCATTTTGGCGATTTGGCATGTCCAGCAAGATCGAAATCATGGAAAATGCTATAAAACGGGCACAAATATGCATCAACACTGACGGCAATCTTTCCCCTTTTCAGAAAAAAATTAAGATTTCCACGACTCAATTCTATTTTTTTTTAACAATAAAGTTATATAAAAATAAAATTGGATAATTACTTTTGCGCCACCTTGTATAAGGTGTAGGTATTAATATTAATTAGATTCATGGAAATTTCGTGGTAATTAATAAGGTCGATGAAATAACAAACAAGGAAGTTTTCCCGCATTGGTAGTGTTAAAACGTGGCATACATTTTATTTATTGTTAATAAGTTATTGCAAATCATTCCTAGAGTTTCATCCGTAGTATTCCTTCAAAACAATTGAATAAAATCTAGGTTGCCATTTTGGCCGTGCTATAAAAATTCTAATTTACACTTTGGCAATACTGTAAGAGATACTTATATTTTTACACAATGAACATTGTATGCATTGTTTGCGATTGGAACTAATCACTGTGATTTTTTCTAACACCTTATTCTTTGTAAATTTGGTCTTCTAACTCATATAAATTGGGATAAACAGTACTTCCTGGGCACACGAGTTGACACTTCACACAAAGATAGGTTAGTGTTATCACCACCGAAGCACCGAAGCGAACGTACCGCGTCAGCGAGCGCAGCAGTTATTTAGACAAGAAAATGTGAAGTGAAGTGTCACCTGCTGCTCGTGGGTAAAGAAAGTACAGTTTTACCTGGAATTGAAATGAAGATGGTTTTTACCTTTCGGCAATGGTGCCTCCGCGGTGCGGCATCTCGGCATGCGTCGCGCTGCGCTGCACCCCGCCGCCAGCCCTGTAAACAAATACAAATGGAATGGTCAAAAATAATGTTCTTTTTTTATTGCCTTCGAAAGCAGACGAGCGGGCAGGCCTCCTGATGTTAAATGGTCACCCACGCCCATGGACATCGGTCATGCCGCTGCCTTTCGTGGAACTTTCTATTTCAGCCTCTCTTGAAGAGGACCATGTTATAGTACTGAATGAAATTAAACAAACTATTGATGCTTTACAATGTCTGGATGCATTTGCTGTCTTTCATCATCATCAGCTTATTAATGCCCCCACTGCTAAGGCACAGGTCTTGCCTATGGGTGGGCAGGGACATGAGTAAGTCACCACTCACACACCACCAATCACCATGCGAATTGGTGGGTGCTTAAGACTGCAGATGCAATCAGACCCACAGCTTAACGTGCTTTCCGAATCACGGAAACCGTCGTTAACACCAACAAATTGAGCCCAAAGATCAGCCTAACTCAGGATAATTCTCCCTATCCCGCCTACAGTAGGGACATAAATGGGTTGATGATGACATCAGACCTGCTCTTTAAAGTCAACTTGTAGTAATTTTGCTAGATCTCGATTTAACTAAAACTAGATATATCCCATGGAAAAATGACAAAACGTCAATGTAAATTTGACACTATTGTATGGGCTAAATCTAGTTTCAGTTAAATTGAGGTTTAGCAAAATAACAGCAAGTGAACCTAAGAGAAGATACTCAAAGCAGCGCATAGAGAAATATCTTCAACCTTAAGGGGACTTCAGCCATGATTCTATTTTTACACGACTAACAGTTTGTCTCGATTTATTGACCACCTATAGGTTGAATACAAAATTATCCTCAAAATACAAAGAGTACATACTATTATTTCAATTTGGCTTTATCTACTTATTTAAGTTCGACGACCTCCGTGGCCGAGTGGTCTGTATGCCGGGTTTCATGGTGTCGCCGACTCGAGAGGTCCCGGGTTCAAATCCCGGTGGGTACATATGTTTGTGTGATGAATACGGGCATTTGTACTCCAGTCATGGATGTTTACTATGTATTTCTATATAAATATATATTGTACTGTATATGTATTCTATCCGTTACCCTAGTATCCCATAACACAAGCCTTACAGTGCTTACTTAGGGGCTAGGCTAATTGGTGTGTGTTGAAATTATTTATTTATTTATTATTCGTTCAACAAGCTACCAATGCTTATCTATTTTTTTTTATTTAACTTGTAAACATATCCTCCCTTAATCTTATAATTTTTAGTGGGTACCTGAAATGTTCAAGATTTAAAAAATATACTGCATTTCAACTTGTAGTCAAATATCATGTAGTACTTAGGTACTTTCTATGTTTCGTTTTCATTTCTGTTACAGTAACATTTTTTATATACTTTGTGATCAAAAATATAACCAACACCAAATTCTATAAAAAAAAAAATACGTATAATAAAATAGTTGAAAATACCTAGACTGCTCAAACCTCTCCTTCAAACATTTGAAATTGTACAGTCTTTCTTGCACCTGTCTCACAGACAACATTTTCACAATTTCCTATGTCCAATCGTCGAACACAAAACCAACACTACTTCCATAAAACACTGTATACAAATAACAAAACCATTGTTGTTTAAAAAACACACTGCATCTTTACAAAAAAAATTAAGAAATGTAAAATTATTCAAATGAAACACGCACAGGACATTTCTAAATAATATGCAGAGTGACACTGACAGAACTACAGGGCTATCCGAGAGAATACACGAAGTACGGGATGTCATAGATCGAAACCCGGTCAAATGCCACTGATAACTAACCAGGAATGTTTAGTTACAATGAATTTATATTATCTTTAGGGCGCACGACCATTATCCTGCTTCATTGTTAGTTCCAGTAAACAGTAGCCGAGTAAGAACTTAAACTCTAAACACACAGTAATAAGGATCATTTAAACAAATATGAGATGAAGATTAACAGGACCAATTAGTGACGGCAAAGAAATGGTTTGCTCTGTTATATTATAAGTAGGTACTTATAGGTGATTTTTCTTCCTGTCGATAACGAATTTACGACGAACTACTCATCGTTAGTGAGTGAACGAACTATCTACTATATAAAAATAAGTCGGGTTTTCCTTCCTGACGCTATAACTCCAGAACGCACGAACCGATTTCCACGGTTTTGCATTCGTTGGAAAGGTCTCAGGCTCCGTGAGGTTTATAGCAAAGAAAATTCAGGAAAAATTAAAAAAAAAAATTTTTTTAATCACCAAACGAAATGTTACATAAAACGAAGCCATCTGGTGGCGAAACGGAGTTCGCGGGGTTTGCTAGTATAAGATAAATATGGTTGTCTCTATTACCATTATATTTATTAGTAAAATTTCAAATTCACCTAAAGCTCTCAATTAGTCTTCACTTAAATCCAAATTCACTTAAAGCGCTCAAAGTTACTTTACATACCTAAACATTTTATTTATTCCTGAGCAGAAGTTTTACCGAATCAGGATTTCCAATACATGAAATCAGGCGTAACTCATAAGCGACGAATGATTTGATGAATTGAAAATAGATAAAGGGATATAATATATATTTCAATAACCAAATCGAAAACATGGAACTTTTCTGCTAAGATATTTTTTTAAATAAATGTATATTTCATAACCTCATTAGTAACAGTTCAAAACACTTTAAGTAGCTAAAATCCTCTTATTAGATACGGAAATCAAAAACAGCTTAAGTATTATAACCTACATGTCTCTAGGGTTCACTGGAGACATATTCATCGCTGAAAAACATTACCAAATAAAATTAAAAGGCTCAAATTCACTTTAATGCATTTATAAGCTGTTGCATATTAGCGGTTAATTGATTACAATAAATACATAAGTCGAATATTTTTTATTAAAAATGCTAACTGCACCAATGGATAAGGCATTTCCTAAAACTTACAACCTTTCATTATTACCGGGCAACATTTTAGACACCAACCGATGTCAATAAGGTGGTATATCTGTTTTTTTTTTTCAAGCTGCAGCTTTAAAGCTCTGCCAACGCATTATATCAAAGGATACACGGCGTAAAGGATTATATATCTACATAATCCAAGTTAAAAAAGTTAATTTCACAGCAAAGACGTTCTTGAGACTACATAATTTTTTTTACGACAAAACTTCAAACAAAAGACAAAGTTGAGTGATCAACTTAAAAGCAACATTACCTTGAGGTTGTTTTGAAACAAAACGCGCGCGCGGTGCGAGTACTTCGTCTTCGTCTCACAGCGAAGCTTCGTCGAAGCGAGCGACGTTACGGCGGCTCTGAGCGAGAGAAGTGAGCGCGCCCTACGGTGCACCGTTCGCGACTGAAGGGCGGGCGGGCGGTTGTATATGAAAGCCACTACCAACAAATGTCGATACAGATACGCTCGGAATTAACGAGAAACGATTTGACCAGAGTTTGGTTGATCAACAAGTGTCTGGTGATCCATTAATACTTATTATTTCAACTCAAGACTGGTAATATGGTGTTCAAACAGCTAATATGCCTGTTCTAAGTGAATCAAACATAATAATTACTTTCGTCAAAATAAAAAGATGTTGTGTAAATCATAAAGTAGAAAGAAGGTGATAAAGTCATCTAATCCACCAGAAATTCAGAATTTTTAATAATATTTTTATATATAGTTTGGTATTGAAATATATCCCATATCCGATTTCACTAATTTAGTACAAGTACACATATATCGAACGCTTTCGTAAATTTATTGTTATTTAAGAGATGATTAACTGCATAATTTCTACTTGGTTCCAAGGAACTTCAGCCGGCTTCCCTGCTCACAAACAGGATACACAGGAACACGGTGCAATATTATTTATAGTGCTTCCCTGTCACTTGACTCCAGGTAGAAGTGCAAACGTTTACATGATCACAGAGTCTTACATCACACTGTAACTTTAAGTCGTTAAACATTAAAAAGCTTAAGAAGTCTTACAAAAAAAGAGAAGATGATATGAACATGTGTAAGTCTTGATTACAATATGTGGTTATTATTTATTGAAATAAAGACAAAAGAATACTTTTAATAATAAGAAGGTTCAGGAAACCTTAGGTCGCCCAGTACTAAAGATAATGAGAATGTCTATTATGTGAAGTAAAATATACAAGTATATTTAAAATCAAACTTTGATAAGAATGAAACTAAAGCACAAAAACCACGACGGTTACAAAAACACTCAAATAGATAAAGCAAATAACAAAACAATATTTGGATGTATAGTGTCCATTCCATATACAATAAAAATAATCATAATTCGATAAACTATTTTCACATTGACGACATGATAATGAATATTTTAAAAGCGCCTTACTAATTGGATGTGTCTATCATTATTAAGAGCGGGTGTCGTGTTACGGGTAAGTATGTCATTACCTGAAAGCCGATGCAGTTGGTACCTAGGCATATTATGTCGGAGTAATGCATAGGCAGCAGTGTCGTGTGACAACGAAAGAAGACATAATTCTATAACTAGACAAAAAATAGGTAAAGACAATACGAACTAGTGAAATAGTGAGAAGATAAATCTCAAATTGAAATACATAAACCAGATCAAACTGTCTGCTGTATTGTCGAAACCATGCGGCTAGATAGAGTTAGACTTCAACGCACTTTGACTACATAGCTATAAGAGTTACCTATATTCCTAGTGCGTTTATAAAATTATGGTCAGTACGATTCACAGCCACCACCAATAAACAACCAATCATTAACAGTTACACCAACAAACAATACAGTGTTTACTGCGAATGTTAACTCGCAATCGTTTTTGGCATAGCTGGAACCATTATCCCGAAATACCCGATGTATGCAGTTTCTGCAAACGTAAATACTAACAGAGAGGCAGGTGGGGCTATCGATATCCCTTTTGGCTTTAAATTTACACAATCGGTCGCAAAGTGCATTGGTCCTTAGCTTTTGCTTTGCTAAAATAAGTCTTGTTACAAAAACGTTACAGACCTTTCCGATTATTTTCAGATTCTGTTAGAATGTGTCGTACCGGAAGGACATCGCCCGTCTATATACCCCAAAGTTTAGGACGCATTAGAGAAAGTGAAAATAAATTATGAGGTAAAGAGCTTTA